CTCGGATTTGGGTTTCTGAATGACTTGGGCTCAGTTCTGGGGGTCCAGGAGCAAATTAAGCTCAGATTTGGGTGTCCAAAACCAACCTCAGCTCAGTTTTGGGTGTCCAAATCCAGCCTGAGCTCAGTTTCGGGTGTCCAGGAGCAAGTTAAGCTCAACTTTGGGTGTCTGAATGGCTTGAGCTCAGTTTTGGGCATCCTAAACCAACCTGAGCTCAGTTCTGGGTGTCCAGGAGAAGCTTGAGCTCACTTTGGGGTGTCCGGGAGCAAGTTAAGCTCAGTTTTGGGTGTCCAAAACCAGCTGGGCCTAAACCACCATTCTGGTTTTTGTTGCTGTGAGCAGCAAGAAGGATCTGGTGGCAGTGAAGTTCTCCACATCCTGTAGGTTAGGGCTGGTTTAGGTTGGGTTTAGGTCAGGTTTAAGTCTAAAACTTCGTTTTTTGGTCATGAATGCACCAAGAAGGAGCCGGTGGCAGTGAAGTTCTCCAGGTCCTGTGGGTTTAGGGCTGGTTTAGGTCGGGTTTAGGCTGAATTTAGGCTGGCTTTATGTCTAAAACCTCATTTTTTGGTCATGTATCAAGAAGGAGCCGGAGGCAGTGAAGTTCTGCAGGTCCTGTGGGTTAGGACTGGTTTATGTTGGGCTTAGGCTGGGTTTAAGTCCAAAACCCCATCTTTTGGTCACTCACACAGCAAGAAGGAGCTGGTGGCAGTGAAGTTTTCCAGATCCTGTGGGTTAGGCTGGGTTTAGGTCGGGTTTAGGTCAGGTTTTGACCAGGTTTAGGCCTAAACCCCCACGTTTTGTTGACCTGAGCAGCAAGAAGGAGCCGGTGGCAGTGAAGTTTTCCAGATCCTGTGGGTTTAGGGTTGGTTTAGGTTGGATTTAGGTCAGGTTTAGGCTGGGTTTAGGCCTAAATCCCCAAGTTTCTTTGACCTGAGCTGCAAGAAGGAGCTGGTGGCAGTGAAGTCCTTTAGATCCTGTGGGTTAGGGCTGGTTTAGGTTGGGTTTAGGTTGGGTTTAGATCAGGTTTAGGCCTAAACCCCCACGTTTTGTTGGCATGAACCGCAAGGAGCCGGAGGCAGTGAAGTTTTCCAGATCCTGTGGGTTAGGTTGGGTTTAGACTGGTTTTAGGTCAGGTTTAGGCTGGGTTTAGGTCTAAACCCCCAAGTTTTGTTGACCTGAGCTGCAAGAAGGAGCTGGTGGCAGTGAAGTTCTCCAGATCCTGTGGGTTAGGACTGGTTTAGGTTGGGTTTAAATCCAAAACCCCATTTTTTGGTCACTCACACAGCAAAAAGGAGCTGGTGGCAGTGAAGTTCTCCAGGTTCTATGGGTTAGGACTGGTTTGGGTTGGGTTTTGACTGGGTTTAGATCAGGTTTAGGCCTAAACATCCACGTTTTGTTGGCATGAACCGCAAGGAGCCGGAGGCAGTGAAGTTCTCCAGATCCTGTGGGTTAGGGCTGGTTTAGGTTGGGTTTAGATCAGGTTTAGACCAGGTTTAGGCCTAAACCCCCAAGTTTTGTTGACCTGAGCTGCAAGAAGGAGCTGGTGCCCGTGAAGTTCTCCAGATCCTGTGGGTTAGGGCTGGTTTATGTTGGGTTTAAGTCCAAAACCCCATTTTTTGGTCACTCACACAGCAAGAAGGAGCTGGTGGCAGTGAAGTTTTCCAGATCCTGTGGGTTAGGGCTGGTTTAGGTTGGGTTTAGGCCTAAACCCCCATGTTTTGTTGGCATGAACCGCAAGGAGCCGGTGGCAGTGAAGTTCTCCAGATCCTGTGGGTTAGGGCTGGTTCAGGTTGGGTTTAAGTCCAAAACCCCATTATTTGGTCACTCACACAGCAAAAAGGAGCTGGTGGCAGTGAAGTTCTCCAGGTTCTATGGGTTAGAACTGGTTTAGGTTGGGTTTAGACCAGGTTTAGGCCTAAACCCCCATGTTTTGTTGGCATGAACCGCAAGGAGCCGGTGGCAGTGAAGTTCTCCAGATCCTGTGGGTTAGGACTGGTTTAGGTTGGGCTTAGACTGGGTTTAAGTCCAAAACCCCATTTTTTGGTCACTCACACAGCAAGAAGGAGCTGGTGGCAGTGAAGTTCTCCAGGTTCTATAGGTTAGGACTGGTTTAGGTTGGGTTTAGGCTGGGTTTAGATCAGGTTTAGGCCTAAACCCCCACGTTTTGTTGACCTGAGCAGCAAGAAGGAGATGGTGCCAGTGAAGTTCTCCAGATCCTGTGGGTTAGGACTGATTTAGGTTGGGTTTAAGTCCAAAACCCAATTTTTTGGTCCCTCACACAACAAGGAGCTGGAGGCAGTGAAGTTTTCCAGGTCCTGTGGGTTAGGCTGGGTTTAGACTGGTTTTAGGTTGGGCTTAGACTGGTTTTAGGTCAGGTTTTGACCAGGTTTAGGCCTAAACCCCCATGTCTTCTTGACCTGAGCAGCAAGAAGGAGCCGGTGGCAGTGAAGTTCTCCAGGTTCTATGGGTTAGGACTGGTTTAGACTGGTTTTAGGTCAGGTTTTGACCAGGTTTAGGCCTAAACCCCCACGTTTGGTTGACCCGAGCAGCAAGAAGGAGCCGGCGCCGGTGAAGCCCAGCAAAGCCGCGCCCGCCTACGAGTCGGAGGAGGAGGAGAAGTGCAAGCCCATGTCGTACGAGGAGAAGCGGCAGCTGAGCCTGGACATCAACAAACTGCCCGGGGAGAAGCTGGGCAGGGTCGTGCACATCATCCAGAGCAGGGAGCCCTCGCTCAAGAACTCCAACCCCGACGAGATCGAGATCGACTTCGAGACGCTGAAGCCGTCGACGCTGCGCGAGCTCGAGCGCTACGTCACCTCCTGCCTGCGCAAGAAGAGGAAACCCCCAGGTACCTCCAGACCCCAAAATTTGGGGTTTTTTAGCCTGATTTTATGGTGGTTTTAATTCCCAGGGTTGGGTTTTTGGGGAGGTTTTGGGAGGTGGTTTGGCCTCGCCAAGATGGCGGCAGGTAGGATTCAAAATGGCAGCAGGTGGGATTCAAAATGGCGGCAGGTGGGATTCAAAATGGCGGGTGGGCTTCAGAATGGTGTCAGGTGGGATTCAAAATGGAGGCAGGGGGATTCAAAATGCAGGCAGGTGGAAGATTCAAAATGGCGACAGTGGGATTCAAAATGGCGGCAGATGGGATTCAAATTGGCGACAGTGGGATTCAAAATGGCGGCAATGAGATTCAGAATGAACCCACCCGTTGAGTTCAGGATGGCCCAGTTGAGTTTAAGGTGACCCACTTGAGTGTGGAACCAACCAATTAAGTTTAGAACCAACTGGTTGGGTTTAGCATGACCCAGTTGAGTGTAGAACCAACCAGTTGAGTTCAGGATGATCCAGTTGAGTTTAGAACCAACCAGTTGAGTTCAGGACGACCCAGTTGGGTTTAGAACCACCTGATTTCGTTTCGACTGAACCAGTTGAGTTTAGAACCAACCAGTTGGGTTTACAATGAACTGGTTGAGTTTAGAACCAGCCCGTTGAGTTCAGGAAGACCCAGTTGGGTTTAGAACCAACCAGTTGAGTTTGGGATGAGCCAGTTTGGGTTTAGAATGAACCAGTTGCATTTAGAACCAACCCGTTGAGCTTGGGATGACCCAGCTGAGTTTAGGATGACCCAGTTGGGTTTAGAACCACCTGATTTCGTTTCGACTGAACCGGTTGAGTTTAGAACCAACCAGTTGGGTTTACAATGAACTGGTTGAGTTTAGAACCAGCCCGTTGAGTTCAGGATGACCCATTTGGGTTTACAACCAACCAGTTGAGTTTGGGATGAGCCAGTTTGGGTTTAGAATGACCCAGTTGGGTTTACAACCAACCAGTTGCGTTTAGAACCAACTGGTTGAGTTTGGGATGAGCCAGTTTGGGTTTAGAATGA